ATGGCTTTCTGTGTGATTTTTCATACAAAAGTCTATTTTTCGAGGAAAATTTCAAGAAATGTCGATTTTGGACCAAATTTATGGGCAAGTGGGTTTCGGTTGTTTGAAGACTCCCATTTTTTTGCAAAAAAACATCAGTTTGCCTTGACCAAAACACTAAAAAGTGGCTTTCTGTGTGATTTTTCATATAAAAGTCTATTTTTCGAGGAAAATTTCAAGAAATGTCGATTTTGGACCAAATTTATGGGCAAGTAGGTGTTCGGTTGTTCACAGACTCCCATTATTTTTGCAAAAAAAAAGGCAGTTTGCCTTGATCGAAACCCCGAAAAATGCTTTTTTCGGGTACTTTCCGTACAAAAGTGTCATTTTTCAAGGTTTTTCAGGTCCTCAGTCGGAGGCTTATGGTACGAAATTGGTAGGTTATAATGAGCTCAAAATCAATCCGAAGCTTTGCCTCGACATGCCAAAACTTTTGGCTTTTACAGATCTCAATTATCTTGTCAACTTTTTGAGATAATCGGCGAACAAAAAGCTCGGACGCGAACGCGAACGCGAACGACGCCATACGCACATCGCTATTTTGCACATATTTCATAGTAAACAACATGTTTTTGGGGGTAGATAGGTCTTGATCGATAGGATTTGATCCCATCTACATTGTCTAGTGTACAGATATGTGCTTTTTCAAGTTTGGCGTGACGTTATAGTGGTCCGAAAGAGGAGATGTCATGAAATTTTGGCTAGTAAAACCAATACTTTACCTAACAAACAAAGTTTGCGGAAAAGTAAAATCGGTAACTTTAACTAAAACTTCGACAATTTTGTATGGGAGGTACCCGTTAATCGATTCTGATTGGCTTCAAACTTTCTGAGGTTTCATTTTTTGGAGATAAAATAAGATTCTGAAAGTTCCATGTTGATCGCATTTGCAGAAGTTTGGTTTTTGGCCCTTAATTTTTTCCAAGAAAATTTCGACAAAAATTGAGGACAAAAAATCGAACTTCTGTAAATGCGATCAACAAGAAACTTCCAGAATCTTATTTTTTCTCCAAACAATGAAACCTCAGAAAGTTTGAAGCTAATCAGAATCGATTAACGGGTACCTCCCATTATTATATTTTTACTGTCTTTATTTCAAGAAAATTCACAAAAAATAATCAAAAGTACCTACAGACAACACAGGCTTACGGTACAGAAAAGTTCGGGATTACCAATGTAATTCTTTTTATTTCTTAGGACAAGTACCCTAGGATCAAATCGAGTATGGCTCATCTCCGAACTTAAACTAAGTTTTTCGAATACAAAACTTTTGGCATTTCCAGATTTTGATTATTGCAATTATTTTTTGAGTTATCGTGTTAACAAACACCAACGACGACGACAACGACGACAAGGGCACACGAATGGAAAAGTGTCTCAAAAAGTGGTTTTCTACACGTTTCATGAGCTTTATGATGATCTAAACCAATTTTGCGAAAAAAGTTTTCGGGATCAATTCCTATACTTTCCCCTGACACGGTGTGTACGGAAAAGTAATAAAATTTTAGCGATAATATGAAAAACGCACACCACGGAGGACCTTTAAGCTTTTGACCAGAACAAACGCCATCTAACGATGGCATTATAACTAGTTTGACCGTATTTAGATAGTAAAGTTTAAACGAAAATTCAATGCTAGGTAAAAACTTCTTGAAAAGTGCTTGATAAACTTGATAAAATAAATACATTTTTCGATTTTTGCAAGTACCCTATGACACACACGGAACAAATTTTTTCTTAAAATTAGTGATATTTCTCTCGAATTTGTGCCATAGATTTTTTACCACTACTAAGAATTTATTTCATGGAAACAAAAAGTTGGTGTTGGTACGAAATGCGACAGTGACAGAATTTTTTTCTTTTTTATGTGATTCGTTTCGGATTGTAAATATTTCTTTACGTGTGTGTTCATTGGAATTTCAAACTAATTGAGGAGCTGTCTATATTTCTATGGAAAGTGTTACTGAGTATGGATATGATTTTGCATGAGATTCGCTTGTAATTTTTTAGCGAATGCGTAGATTTGTATCAATATCATCGTATCCTACCTATACCTTATTGAGTGATGTAAAGTAAATGTGATACCGTATATCTTTGCTTCAACTAATACTGTAGCTATTGAACACAGCAACGAAACCATGGCATGTGAGCCTGAATGTAACGCTAAGGTATGAGTCAGGTCGTTTGATCATTCTCATTCTAATTTACATCATGTAAGCGACGGTTGATCTGTGGTCAACTTTGGGTCGACTTTGAAACGGAATGTGTTTTGTGCATGCAGCGAAGATGTAAATTTTTTTAAATTTGAACAGCCACGTGCCATAGTAACACCACTCAACCCTTCAAGAGAGAAGAATATTTACTTTTTAAATTTTTGCATTGAATTTATAGTTTAAAGAAGGTGATGAAAGAATAAATGTAAACATTTCATATTTTCAATGCAAAACATTCGATGTGAAACGCGAAATTAAACACACGTGCACAGGTGGAATTGTAATTCTATCAATTGTTTGACATTGTTATCTTGAAAAATGTGTGCGATAATATTTTGTGGGCTTTAATTAGAATCGTCATTGTACGTGGATTGAATCATACAGTGTGTGGCCCACCGACGTGGCCACACTTGAAAAGTATATAAGAGGATGCGTTCGATTCGCATGTCCATCAAACAGTTCTTACCAATTGATACGTTCATAGTAAACGTTCAATAGTTCGAAGCTAGAAAAATGCTGAGTCGAAGTTCTTTCACACTGCTGCTCATTGGCTTGATGGTGAGTCGACAATTTCAGTCGATTTTTTAAAAAATTTTCATGTTTGATACTTTTCGTGGACAATTTGTGATAATTTTTTCTGAAATAATTTAAAAAATGAAAAGTGTCCTTTTTTCAAGTTCTTAAATTGAAAAAATTCTTCTATTCCAAAAAAATGTCCACCGGAAACTTTTATTCTATTAAAAACAGTTGAAAACTGTTATTAATACATAATGTATTAATCGCATCCGTTGTTCTCATTCCAAATGTATCACCTTGATTCTATTTCCACAGTTCTTAATCGGGGATGTGAGTGGAGCACCACCCGGGAGGAATGGTAAGATTGAAATTTCATTTATTTATCCAGTTTAACTCTTAAATTCCATATACAAAGCACCTTGTAACGAAGAAATAGAAACCTCATTTATGCTAAACTTTTCATACATATTTTAGTAAACGAAAAAGACATGTTTGGAGAGACAGCTCTGCATAGAGCTGCTTTTGCTGGTAATTTTGGACATTTTTTTTTATAAAAAAGAAGGTTTTGTTCAATCCGTTTCATTGATCTATGAATATTTTTCATATTCTTTCAGGCAAGGTGAAGGAAGCTGAAGACCTCATCACTGAAGGAGCCGACCCTAATATTGGAAATAATTTTAATGAGACAGCTCTGCATTATGCTGCTAAGAAAGGTAACGTTGAATACTTATTGTTATTGAATAAAAGATTGACCTGATTTTATCTTATCGATCGGTGTTATTGTTCAGGTCACAAGAGTCTCGCTGAACTTCTCATCCGCAAAGGAGCCAATTTTCATAGTGAAACTAATAGGAAAGAGACACCTCTTCATTGTGCTGCTGCCCATGGTAATTTTGAATACTCTTTTCGAGTACTATGCGCATTAGTATTGCTTAGCAGCAAGCATTGAATATACTTTGGCCAATAGACAAGCATATCGCGATGCAATACAGTTGACATCACACACAACTGTCGCGCACACAACTATCGTGCAAACAAACATCGCATATATAGCCATCGCAACCAACTCACACACAAAACCGACTAGCATACATACACGGGTGTCAGAGTTGTGTGTGATGTCTACTACACTTCGTCAGTGCAGCCTTGACTTTTTTCTCACTAAATGGGAAATTGGTTCAATTTTTTCATTGATCCGTATTATTTAAGGTCACGGAGGTGTCGCTGATGTGCTTCTCAAGAATGGAGCTAACGCTAATATTGGAAATGAATTGAATACCACAGCTCTTCATTTAACTGCTGACTATGGTAATGTTGAATACTTGTTTTCATTAAATAAAAGATTGATTTGATCTTTTCCATCGATCTGAATTATTTTTCAGGTCACAAGAGTGTCGCCGAACTTCTCATCCACAAAGGAGCCAATGTTGATAGTGAAACTAATAGGAAAGAGACACCTCTTCATTGTGCTGCTACCCATGGTAATTTTGAATACTTTTTTTGAGTACTATGCGCATTAGTATTGCTTAGCAGCAAGCATTGAATATGCTTTGGCCAATAGACAAGCATATCGCGATGCAATACAGTTGACATCACACACAACTGCGACACACACAACTATCGTGCAAACAAACGTCGCAAATACAGCCATCGCAACCAACTCACACACAAAACCGACTAGCATACATACACGGGTGTCAGAGTTGTGTGTGATGTCTACTACGCTTCGTCAGTGCAGCCTTGATCTGAATTATTTTTCAGGTCACAAGAGTGTCGCCGAACTTCTCATCCACAAAGGAGCCAATGTTCATAGTGAAACTAATAGGAAAGAGACACCTCTTCATTATGCTGCTGCCCATGGTAATTTTGAATACTTTTTTCGAGTACTATGCGCATTAGTATTGCTTAGCAGCAAGCATTGAATATGCTTTGGCCAATAGACAACTCACACACAAAACCGACTAGCATACATACACGGGTGTCAGAGTTGTGTGTGATGTCTACTAAATGGGAAATTGGATTAATTTTTTCATCGATCTGAATTATTTTTCAGGTCACAAAAATGTCGCCGAGGTTCTCATCAACAAAGGCGCCAATATGGATGTCATGAATGATTTTTATAATACACCTCTTCATTATGCTGCTTTATATGGTAATGTTGAATAGTTATTTTCACAAAATAAAGAATCGATTTGATCTTTTTCATCGATCCAAATTATTTCTAAGATCACGAAAATGTTGCTGAACTTCTCATCAAAAAAGGAGCCAAAGTTGATGTTAGAAATCTTGCGAATCTAACACCTCGTCAGTTAGCTGTTAGGCATGGTACTGCTGACTATATTAAATACCGCTTCGATCTTTTTCATTGATCTGTATTATTTTTCAGGTCACAATAATATTGCAGAACAATTGGAATAGATTCAATATGCTGCCAACAATGGTAATGTTGAATATTTTACTTTTCCGTGCACTTTGTTAAGGGAATTGAAATGGAAAGACTTTTTCAATCTACGATTAAATTTTAAATAAAACACCTTAAAGTGACTTTGCTTTTTCAAATTTCAAACATAAATCAATATGAATATTTATTTATAAACGAAATTTTGGTTCGGATGCATTTCGACATTTGTCATCCTCAGCGAGTATCAAATTACACTGGACTCAGCTCTCTGTTTGCGATTGTGAGTGAGAGAAAAAAGAAGAAAAGTAAATACAGAAAGCAAAACATGTAACAATGTGGTGCGAGCGTACGCCAAAAAATTACAACAACTAAAACAATAAAACTCGGTGTGAACACACAAAGACACAACAAACCTCAAAATGAGACCCATTCGATTTTTATTGGCTTCAAATTTTCTGAGATTTCATTTTTTGGTGAAAAAATGAAATTCTTAAAGTTTCACGTTGATCGCGATTCACATTTGCATAAGTTTGGTTTTTGGCCCTCAAATTTTTCTTGAAATTTCCTTGAAATTTATTTTGTATTTGGATGTGTAATCGATTCCGATTGACTTCAAACTCTCAGATTCTTATTTTTTCGCCATAAATCTTAGAAAGTTTAAAGCCATTCGGAATCGATTTACAAGTACCTCCCATACGGAATTGTCGTAATTTCGACTAAAATGACCGACTTTCACTGAAAATATGCAATTTTATACAAAATATGATAAAAAGCACGAACAACTTTACGGAAAAAAACGGGATTACGAATGTAATTCCCTTTATATTTTCACAAAACAAGAAATTGTTTGACCTTAAGTCGATCTGTATTTTCCAGGTGGCGAATAGCTGAATAATCGGATGATTTCCTTCGATTCCCGTTTTCGATTGTCCTGTAGAAGAATTATTCCAATATATTTTTTGTCAATCTTTGACCATATCAATTTGTGTGGTCAACAATATTAGTATTGTTGCTTTGTTCAACCATCAACTTTTCTGTTGCGCTTTTAACACTTTGACGTTTCTTCACACTTTTTACCTATTTCACGAAAAAAACGCGTTTTTTCTTATCATTTTTCACGGAACTGATAAGAGATAACGAGATGGTGTCTATGGCAAAGTTGTAGCTCTGGTCGAAAAAAAACAATTTCAATGTTGTGCCCTAATTTGAGTAATGTGGCCCTAATTTGTATAGTAATTTAGATCTCAACCGTTGTACAACTAGATGCAAGCATGTGGAAACCGAATAAATAATAATAATAATCCGTCAGAAGTTGTAACCACCCATGGTTACATATGGGGCAGTGCACGAACCAAACATATTAAGACGTTGTGATGCAAAGTATATGTCATCCAAGGCACCAAATCAGGCGGTGTTCTTCATGGCCGGTGGAGATACGCCGGATGGTGAAATTGTTGAACCACCTGGCAATTCTAGCGGACGAGTTGTCACAGAAAAGTATGACAAAATCATGGGCATCAAGCAGGGTGTAAATGGAACGTCAACAGGTGGTCGCGGAATCTTTCTTCCCATTTCCCTCTTCCTTGATTTTATCAATGATCCAAAGGTGGATTGAATATAATGAACTTATCCTAACATTCCTTTTAATTTCATCACTAAACTTATTGCAGAGCGTGGCGGCGAAAAAGTAATGTGCTTTTATTTGCAGCTGTCCTCATTGCTTGTTATTTACTATCTATTTATTTTAACTGTTTTTGTTTCGAATAAGGGTTTTTATGCGATGAGAAATTCGTTTCTTGTCGTCTTTTTTCCCTGTCATTCCATTCCATATCAAAGTTAAATAAACAATATATAAATGCGAATATATGAGAAAAGTGCATTTCATTTTATTTTCCATTGATCGTTGTGCAGTTATACGATTATCGTGGTTAGATAGGGTTGTTGCCAAACTTATAAGCACTATTTACATGTAATTTGTCCACTGATTTGTGCAAAGAAATCGAACGAAAATAGGTGAAATGACGAGAAAACATGATTTATGCAAATGGCTTACATGATTTCAAGGATAAAAATCACAAGGCAAATACAATAGACGTCAACAGCGAGTACAACTACGATTTGGTTTGACGTTTTGCTATCAAGTTAGTCCAAGTAGCTTAAATGTAAGTTGAGTAACAGTAAAGTACTGAGCTTCATGTCAAGTCTACTGTTAAGTCTAAACCTTAATGATTTCTACAAAAATCAATAGATGGCGTTAGGGTCCAGCATTCGCCTTGTAATAAAAATGGAATTGGCCAGTTTATAGGCGGAATGCGGACCATTTTTGTGTTCCTGAAGAGATAGGAGACAGATACTTCATGCAATGTTCTGAAACATTTCAAGATATTCATTTTTGCTTGAGAAACTGGCCTCGTATTTCTCACCAGGAACGCATATATGATTCCCATGTAACTATGCGCATTTGCCTAATCCCATTTTTATAATCAACAACACATATATATGTACATGATGACCCTTCATCACGAATTGAACAAAAAAGTACCCTTAAAGTAAATTCATATCATCAGTGCGCACTCCAACATCAAATACACTAAATTCCTTTGGCGCACACGTATAGCGGTTGTTTTTTCATTCCATTTGAACAAACACAAAACTGGTGTGTTGAGCTTAAGCTGTTTTCGAAAATGATTATTCGTTTATTGTGCGAAGTTTCGCTCTTATTAGGAGCATCATCAGGCTGGAGAACAAAAATGTACACAAAAAACAATGAGGAAGTGTTGAAACAATTGGCAACAGCTGAAAATAACCAAATTACGAACCAGTTACATCTGAATTTAAAATGTTTTCGAACGTTTTCCATTTTTTTCATCAATTTACACAAATTGTATCAGCTACACGTTTCCGCGAAAGGAATTTTGTTATTGAGCTTTCGAAAATGATTATTCGTTTATTGTGTGACGTTTCGCTCTTATTAGGAGCATCATCAGGCTGGAGAACAAAAATGTACACAAAAAACAATGAGGAAGTGTTGAAACAATTGGCAACAGCCGAAAATAACCAAATTACGAACCAGTTACATCTGAGTTTAAAATTTTTCGAACGTATTCCATTTTTTTCATCAATTTACACAAATTGTATCAGCTACACGTTTCCACGAAAGGAATTTTGTTATTGAGCTTCATTTAGTGTCTGAATATGATTACACTAAGCAACAACAAGAAACAACCACAGAGAAGAGAACTTATTTACAAAGTTTTTTGGGGCCACTTTATCCAAATCTGGAGCGTTAGTTTTGCTCTGGCACGTCTAGTTTTGAAGATACGTCCATTGCGGCTTCCGTATCAGATTTGGATAAAGTGGGCCAAAAAAACCTTGGAAATGAGTCTCTACTTCTTGGGAGAATTTCGTTTTCGAAATTTGTTGCATAGTGTTAGTAGACCTCAATTCATAAATTCCATAACTAAAAAATACCACAATTCATCAATTATACGTTGCATGGCACGTGTCAGCTATTAGTTGATGAATGGTATAAAAGAGGCAGTACTGCATAGGGAAGACCAAACGAATTCAAAGGATCTTCTAAAGAAGCACAAGACGGTTCTCTACTCTCTACTCTGTTTGGTTGGCAAATTAAAATGAATCTACTATACGGTTTGTTTTCGGTGCTATTTATCGTTGAATTTCCGGTAAGTTCTTTTCTTTTCTTTCATCATTTTCACTTTTGTCCAATAAAATACGATATTTCTGTAGAACTGAACATTTTTTGCATTAATTTCAGAGCGTGAAACCAACTCCACCTCCGCTTACACCTAACGAAGCTAAATTTATAGCCGATATAGAGGCACCGGGAAGTAAGTGTGCATTCGAAATTCGAACTAAATCAAACGTCTTCAACCTTCAAACCGTAAAATGTATTTTCTAACGTTGTTCGTAAAATCGGTGCGTGAGTGCCCATAATGCATTTTATATGGGAAATGTCAGTTTTTTCTTAAATTTTTATTTTTGAATGTAAATATTTCAGAATTTGTTGATCGGAAAAGTATGAAAATTACTTTGAAATGTGATAAAATTCATAAAAAATCGAAAGACAACAGCAAGTTTCTTGGAAATTTTTCAATAAAGTGGGAATTGTAATGTTGATCTCTTCACAAAAATGAAGGCAAAAACATATACATACAAATTCCACTATGGCCGATTTTGACGTCAAAAATTGAGATTTGGATCAAAAAGTTATGTATATCACTAGAAAGCACACGCATATAATCTTGTATTGAATACATACAAAATACGAAGTGTGAAATTGTAAAGCGCCGTCCATAAATGACGGCAAAATTCAGTACTAATTGGTGTGATTTCGCAACATTTCACAATATGTCGAAATCACTTACGGCTATTTACAGATGATTTTGCCGTCAATTATGGATGGCGCTCTACAATTGTTCAAAGTGTGAAGATAAGCAGGTGCTAGAAAGGTCTTGAAAAGTAGATGTCATTTTTGGTATAAAACTTCAAAATGGGCCGGTATTTGGCCGTTGGATTTTTTTTGGCCAAAATTGATAAAATGGCCATATTTTGATAAAATGATGATCGATTTTGATGTTTTATAACTCAAATTACATATACTGTTCAAGATGTTTTCAATGATGTATATTTCATAGTTCCCACATTAATTTTTATACGCAATTTATCGAAAAATGTATATATACTCGGGCACCCATTTTACGTATAGCGTATCACACATGTTTACGTGCATATGTGGTAAGATAGTGCGCGTATGTGGGTATGTTAACGCAATTTTCGTAGCCAAATGTTCAACGAATCGAACCATAGTTATTTTATTAATTTATGATAAGAAATAATTAAGATATAAGCATTCAAATTTGGTTTTGGGCACACAGTGCCCAATTTACGGTTTGAAGGTTAACGTCACTTTTTTAAATTTTAAATAGAGGAGAGGCAAAAGTGGAGATTCTTCATGATTTATACTCAAGAGAAAAAATACCCTTCGAATCTGCGGTGTACGTATCGCTCACGCTATGCGTTCGCTCTTTTTCTGCCTTATTCACACGTACATTATATTCGTCATACAAAACAACGGCAGAACCTAAGTGTAGAACGCATGCGATGCGCTTCAGTTGTGTGTAACGATATTGACGCAAGACCGTATGCATTAGTATTGGTGTGAGAAGCGCGAACGTTTAGTGTATCCGCATGCCAGTTATGGACAAGATATTGTCCTAGGGACAATATCGTCCGAAGACAATCGAGAACTGTTTATTTGTTTTTATTGCTTTATTTCTTAGATGTTTCACAGTTCACAGGTCAGTTAAGACTGAAAATCTATGTTCGATTGTTCGCCTTTTATAGCAAATATCTGACATGAAACTATCGTTAAACCTACTTTGATTTAAATGATTTACATGTGATTGAAAAACTTAAATCTAAGACGCCTTTGGCTCAAACCTAATAACAAACATTTGTTTCTTAAAAATCATCATAGCAAGCATATCGTCCGCTGTACGCTTCCGTCTACTCTCATCACTCTTCCCATTTTTCAAATGAAATCGTCCTCGAATTTTTAATGATGTTCATCATTTGGGTTAGGTTGAGGCTTTGTGGAGTGATGTTTTTCTTTGTTGAATAGCAGAAGAGATTTTCAGAGGGTCTCTTCTTGATGTTGACATGTCTTCTTCCTAGATGGTCTGGTCTGTTGTTGGTGTGGTGGTGTTAATTTGGGACAGAATTTGTTAGCTGCGCTGATTGAAACATGGTGGGTGATTGGTGTTGATCTGGTCCTGATTCTTGGCTTCAGTTGTTGGAAGAGTGCGTCTCGTTCAAATTGTTCTGTGATTTCGACGTGGAGATATGGTTATTCTTTGATTTTCGAGTCAGAATTTGTCTTGTTGGTGGTGATGAGAGGATGGTTTCTGATGTGTTCACATGGTGCAGGAATCATTTCAGGAGCGGTTTCACTTCTTCTGTGTTTAGGTTCTCCCATC